CAAGATTAATATATTCAATTCATATGCATACTGACCACATGACACATAGAAGCCCTGTTGTCGCATGAGTCGAAACCAAAGAGAAGGGCTACCACTAGTCCAGTCATCACCGTATGTGTCATAAATATGTTGCAAAGCTTGCTCAATCTCTTCTTTAAAATAATAGCCTATGCCAAGACGTTGGACCGCGTCAACCAATTTTAGCAAATTTGTATGTTCTACTGGAATATCCGGAGCTGCCATTATATCTTTCTTCACTTCTTCTTTCAAATCTTTGACTATCTGCTCCATCTCGTCTTCATCATCTTGCTACATTCAATATTGAATCGTCATTAGAGAAGTTGTAAACACAAACACACATTTAGTTTCACCATTTCTAATAATTTACATACCTTATCATAAATGAGAAACTAATCTCCCCAGATGCCACGAGGAAAATTGACCGTGGGATGAATAACCTCCTCTTGTTTACCAACCATGTTCTTGGATATGTGTAATATGCTCAAGTTACAAATTACATAAACAAGAGTGCATGAATATTTATAGAGGGTCTACATGTCACATTTTTCACACAATAAATTTTAAATATAATCACAAGGGTTGTGGCGTAGTGGTTGAGGTCCTGTGGAACGTGGTGGAATACCCCATTTGGCCAGGGTTCGATTCTAAACGTACACAACAATTATTGCCACTGAATTTATCAGAGCTGATTTCTTCCTACCATATGCTAGAATTAATTCAGATAGCCTGAAATACATGTTTAACATGCTACATCATTTAACTTGTACGTCATAGTAGTAATCAGGTAGGACCCCATTGAGATAGATATTCATTGGTTCTCATTTATTCTATTATATATATATATATATATATATATTTTTTTTTTTCATTTGTTTTAAGATGACTTTGATTACCATATAAAATATTTTTCACGAATATGTAATAAAATACTTTATTAATTTCAACAAAACTAACCAGTAGAACCCATAAAATTATGATAACTTTAAAAACCAGTGGATCATGTATTATTTTATATGATTTTTTTCATCTATGTCTTGGATTTAGTGTATTGATTCACATACATTTGTTTCACAATCAAAACATTTTTTAAAAAAATGCAGTTAAAAAGTTTCACATTGTGAACTGAATACATATGAAATAAACACATTAAGTTGATCAATACTAAACTGTAGCATTAGATGAAAAAAATCACGTGAAATAATACCTTATGATCATAGTTATCACAGTTCCCATAATATAATAATAAATAAAGTTCTCAAATATTAAGCTTCGTATTAACGTTTACATCATTCTGATTTAATATTTCATATAAATTTTAAATAAATTATATTTTTACTTTTAAATAATTCAAAATGTTTTTTCTTCCATCAATATGAGTTAAGAAAAATGTATGTGGATCTTAATAATTTTTTTATCATCACCATATAATTTTAAAAAAATAAATGTTTGAAAATTATTTTAAAAATACCAAAATAAAAATATATGAATTTAAATGAATAATTACATGACTTTCTTTTTATCCCCTTTTAGCTATGTAGGTTTAAAGATAGTGACTCCAGACTACCTGTAAAACAGGTGGTTGTCTTAATATTAAGGATCGTATAACAGATTAAGTATCCAAATTAATAAAAAACAATCGATAAATATTTATTTATTACAGATAAAAAAATCAATATATTATGTACTAGGAAAATAGAGCCATAGCAAAAAGCTCCTTCCATGCGTTTCTTATTTTCATGGTGGGGCTACAAATTTAACACATTTTCAGATGATGGTTTCTATCTATTAGCCATTTTTCTTTCAAAATCACCAAAATGTCATTAGGTCCGCATTTTGTGGAGGGGTTAAAAGTATAATTTTTTTTGAATCAGGTCCAGAAGTCGAGAGACCAAATCTGTAAATTCGTTCCAACACCTCCGCATGTGGCGGAAGTGCCAAACTATATTAATTTTACAGATTTGGTCCCTACACTTGTGGACCTGGTTCAAAAACTTCCCTTTTTACACTTTGACCCCTCTGCAACTTGCAATGCTAGTGACATTTGGTGATTTTAGAAGATAAATGGTTAAGAGGTGAAACCACAAGCCGTAAATGGCTACTTTAATTAATTTGCCTACGATTTATTCATGTTTAATCTTATTGGGTGTGACTTTACGGCTTCTAAACTTTCGAAGACTGAAAGTATTGATGTATATGGTTATTCGGCAGGGTATGTCTACAAAATTGGGAGCTTTAGCGAGACTGATCAAAATATTAAATTTTCTTTTCGGGTCACATGAAAGTTAAAAAAAAAATGCTTGCACCTCGAGTGGGGGACTTGTAAGTTTGTTTATTAAATGGCAACTAAGAGCAGAATGATCATAATCATGTTTCTTGATCATCAACTATATCTTATATAAACAATTCTTTTGATCCAACAAGAGTTGTTACCGACAGAGAGTCGGGGAGGTCGAAGGGATTCGGTTTCGTTAGCTACACCAGCGATGATTCAGCCAAAGAAGCAATGACATCCATGGATGGATAGGTTAGAAAATGAACATTCCTGCACTATTCAGTGAACCCAAGTGAAAATCTTGGATTGCAAGTTTAACTTTTAACCTCGTTGCATTCTTGTTTGTTTAGGAATTGGACGGTCGAAGCATTCGTGTTAGTCTTGCCACCGAGCGTGCTCCTCGTACAGGCGGTTTTGGTGGTGGTGGTGGGTATAACCGTGCTGGAAACGATCAGTATTAGGTGCACTACACATAGGCAATAACAAAGTTGGTTCTTGTATTACGAACGCAAGATTATTGATATTGTTCCTTTTTCCAATGGATTTAATGAACCGTTTAACCTCTATCGTAAAGTGTTTCGTATACGAGTTCTTTAGTTATTGCTAGGTTTCTCAGATAAATTGACCAAACTAGCAATTTTGGACTACATTTTCTCTTTTTTTTAGCCTACTTTTTTCAATTTGACCAAAATAGCTAAGTTTTTGCTAGGAATAAAAATCTTGTGGTCACGGAAGTTCAAATGCGATGACTCCGGGCTATCTGCAAAGCAGGTGTTTGTCCTGGAATTAGTCGGCTCGCATAGCGGGTTGGATATCCAGGTTAATCAAAAAAGAAAAAAGAAAGGGCTTGCTAAATGGTCCACCAAAACAAATAAAGTATGGATTTTGTGGAAAGATTTTGAATCTTTTGTGGGTTTGGTTATTAGGATTTTGAATGACATTGAATTCTGTTATTTATAAATAATTTATTAAAATAAATTGTAAAAATAATTTACAATAAATCCTATAAAATCTAGCTAAATACCAACTACGCTATAACGCTAATGTGATTTTTGAATCCGATATCAGTGATATTTCAATTTCAAACTTCTTTCGGACCAAATGCAACCAAATGCAGAATTCAAATTTAATCAAATTCTAAATCTTACCAAATCATACAAACCAAATGGATTCTTATGGTGAAATTTAAACCGTGGTTGGTTTTGTGGATCAAATTTAAAAATACATATGACAAATTCAGATTCAATACATAACCGTAGTGTTACACAACTCTTTGGTTGATAGCTAACAGACAGTTGAACATTAACGAATTGAGATCATATCCGTTCTTAAAACTATAATAATCATCCATTTTCAAGATGGGTGATGATTGACTTTCGCGTGCATCGGGAATGAAGAACCGAAGCTCATAAACTTATATCATGAACGAGCAAAGATTTGATATGACCAATCACTTCTTCTCCCACATGCGTGAAACTGTCTTTATTTTTATATAGAACATCCATCACTCGGGTCAAGTTGATC